ATGAGTCACGGCCTGAGGACGCAGAGCTGGAGGTGGGGGGTCAACGTTCACCACTAAAGGTATGTAATTGGGGAGCTGTTTCTGGTAGCGTTGATGGGAGCCCTCTTTCCATTGTTTTTTTGGGTAGGATATCTTGAGGTATGCGTCTCTTGTCCATCAAGCATGACAACTGAGAAAGGGTTCGTGCACTGAACACCTATATATCAGGCCCCTAGGTTCGTGCGGGTGCATCTCTGGCGGACCTGAGGTCATATTTTGAGCGCTGCAGATCTCAGCGAGCCTTTGACGAAGCACGTGCACCTGGCACCTCGGAATGACAAAGGGAAGATGAAGCGCAGCATCACCAAGTTTGTAGCGCCAAAGCAAAGGGGAAACAGTGCAGAAACCGTATATTAATTTCTTATTTATATAGTTATTTTGTTTGATAAAACTTGCTGCCGTTTTGGGTCCACGGTCATTTTGGGTGTTCGTTGGGCTGCCCATTGACTTCTCAATCCTTTCAATCCAGTCAAAGAGGTTGAAAACCGGACTTGAAAGTGTTTTCTTGCTCAGTCGGGCTCGCCTGTCCGCATGGGTGAACCAATCCATTGGGGGACTGACGAACGCACGGACATGCGGGGTGGCACCCAGGTTCGATCCTTTGAGTATCTCCGATGTTTGGGCGGAGGCTTAATCGACGAAGACATGCAAAGTATCTTGGGCTGCAAGGCGAGCGACTGCGAGTTCCATGCAGAACGGTCGGATGGGACTAGGAACCAGAAGCTACTTGTAGGGGCTCCTGGCCGTACTACTAGGAGCAAGGACGCTACTAGGGCTCCTGGCGAATGAGATAAATGCAGTGTCAAAAAGACTGTGACCCCCAGTTGCAAGGCGAGGCTCCAAACAGGTTGAGGATGTTGACGTGTGTGGCTGAAGGTCTTGGGGTGGGCCTTGGAACCGTAGCAATTTCAATTGAAACATGAAAGGAAGAGGGTTAAGTGTTTCCAAACACATCCAGGAAACAAATCATTAATAATTAAGCCCGAGGCCTTGTGTCCAAGCCTAAGAAGCTACTTATATAAGTAGCTACCCCCTTACTTGTCAGCTCACTCAAGCTGAAATCTCGGCCTACCGAACCGCCACACAAACTGGGTCCCATCTGAGGTGCCATCAAGAAGCTGCAACTCCACGGGGAGCAGCTCTCTTGTTGGAAAGCTAGTGAGGTCTCAGAAGCAGCTCTCACAACATATCGCAAGAGCGCACCTTGGATTACAGTAATGAATTTGTTTTAAGGGCAGCGAAGCGCAGGTGTGAGATTCTCAGAAATGCCTTGGACGTGTTGAATTGCAATCGTGTCAGCAGTACCAGCTGTGAGGTGATTTTCACCAGGACAGCAGCAGAGATGCTGCCAAAGGAAGTCCTGGCAGATGAAGCTGAAGCCTCTGCAAAGGCCGAGAGACACCGAGAGACGTATGCAGTTGGCTGGACCACCGATAGAGAGGTGGAAAAGGGATATCTCCAATAGGAGCAAATAGTTTCGATGGCCTCTCATGGTTTCCCCTTTGTTTTTTCCTGGTCAAGATTTAGACCTTGTGGTTTGGTTCTGGGGACTGTCCTGTAGATACTTTGATACTCCTCCAAGTGGCCGCTGTTCCAGTGAACCGTGAGTTGCATGCGGCTGCCACCTTCGTCGCAAGAACCAATCCTGCAGGCAAGAGGATCACTTCGTAGCGCGGCAGAAGGACTGGGATTCTTACCCTCAGCGCTGAAAGGAAAGATTCCTACTTCAGTGTGACTTGGATGCATCCTGAGCATCCAGTTGCCATGTGCGGATGCTTCAAACAACTGTTCAAACATGGCGCCAGAAATCGCCAGACGCTTCTGGTTTTGGGATGTTTTGCGTGGTCAACCTGTTGGTCAACCCGCGGAACCGATCGCCGGAACCGACCTACTGAGGCTTGGGCATTTGGTTCGGCCAGGGCCCGAGATGTCGATGCTCTGATGCTCTTGGCAGTCAAACGAGAAGTAGGATTGGACAAGTGGAACACCATGGGAATTCATCACCCTGATCCAGTTATCCAGTTCTGATCCTCAGTTCTATCACCGATGGACACTTATTTTCTATGAACATCGTGCGTAGGCCGTAGGTCGTTGAATCACAGATCACAGAATGTCCTGTTTTTTGACGTCACAGCTGTGTTTGACGGCGTCTCGTCCAGGAGACTCCTCGCTCTGGCAGAGCCGGAGGCCAGAGCTTGAGAAGCACCAAGTCGAGTGAAGTCTCACCACATCGTCTTGTAAAACCAGATTGGTGAGCCTTCACTGGGCCTTCACCCCCTCTTTTTCGCACATCTTGCTGGTACCAATGTCCCAACTGGTCGGGCAACCAGTCCTGTGATGTGAGGCGAAGAAAGGCGCCGAGCACCAGAGGCTGGCGGTGGCCGAAATGGCGGAGGCGTGCGTCACACAAGGGCCGAGCATGGATTCTGCCCCTTGGATGAAAGTTGAACAGCTTTAACGGATTTTATGGCCCTTTTTGCTACTAGTAGTAATGCCAGGAGCTACTAGTAGCGACGCCAGCAAGCCTATTAACGCCTACTTTGTCAGTTTCTTCCAGGAAATGCATGGACTTGCTGAATTGCCTTAAGAATTGAACTTCCACGGTCCACGGTCAATCCCACTCTCTCCCAAGCGCATTTGGGGTTGTCTTCCTGGCAATGCATCGCAATGTGCTGTCAAGCCCAAGGCTCTAAGCCAGTCATGCTTGAGATTCCTACATCAAGTGGCCAAGGACCCAAACGAAGTACAGAAGACGATGTGCGACCTTACAAGCCACCAATCAAGTGCCGCTGTCAACTGAGCTACTTGTATGACCAAAACCACAAAATGGATGGTTTAGTGGGGATTATAGCTGTCCAGCAACAAACATCAAGGGGTTGCAAGTTGCAAATGGGGATTGTCGCTCGCAAGTCAGCGCAAGGGATTTTCTGCCAGATATTTTGGCCGTAGCTGCTAGTAGCTCAACTAGAAATGGAGAACGAGTCACTGAGTTCTTAGATGGGCAGGTGGACCGTGGACCTGTGATGACCCGATATCAGGAGTACTTGGCACGTGCAATGCCTTCACGGCAAAGCGTCTACTTGAACTTTGACCTGCTTGCCAATGCCCCAGAAATCATTTTCAGGTTCCAGAGGTGAAAAGTCACCTGAGTCACGTTCCCAGAGGTGAAGAAATCGTCTTTCGAAACCAGGCTGGTGGATCTCCCAGCATGCAACTCTTGCAGAAGTTGGAGTGCTGGCCTTAGCAATCACAAGAGAAAAAGAACATTCACTCCTCAGCACTTCCAAATACTTCCAAACTCATTACCCTAAACCCTAAACCCATCGGTGTCCCGTTCATCCAACCGATCAACCGTCTGCGCAGGACCGATCCTGAAGCCCAGCGGCTCTTGACCAACATGGCACTCTCCGAGCTGCTACAGGTGGGCCTTTCGGTGAAACCTGGTCGTCCAGATGGACGGAAGAATGAGGTGTCTCACCCACCTGGTGAGACCAAATCAACTGCACCATCTAGGCACGAAGAAACAGCGACATGTGACAGGTGAACGCGACACGTGACCAGATGTCCAGCTCCCGTTCCGTCCCGTCCTGTGCGTCCGCACGCTGAGCCCGAGCCAGCGCAGTCCTGACAGGTGGCTTCGTTGATCCAAGAAGCACATAGCATGGTGCATGGGGTCGATCGCCTTAGCTTCGCCTTGTTTGAGCCTGGCTGGTGCGGATAGCTCGATGGTTTGTACTGGGTTGACTGTTTTCATTGGTGTGCCATCGATGGTCTGTTGTGTGGGCTGCGATTTTGGTCGAACGCTCGGCTGCGATTTTGGTGTCCGGTGGGAATTTACCTCGGGGAGCCGTCCGAGTCGTTGCTAAGCGCAATGAGGATGCCATCCAACTTCCTCATCCCAGTCTACGAGACTGGTTGGCACGATTGAAAGTGGATCCATCCCTACACCCGGCAGACATGGGTGAGTCACGCGGCTGCACCTGACGGATTCATCCCGTGATCCGCTTCGGATTTGGAAGGGGCTTCAGGCTTTTGGGGGCATGGATGGGCATGGTTGTTGTTGGTGGTTTTCGCCCTTCTGCCTCTTTGTTACCTTCAATGTTCCTCTTTTTTCCGCAATAGAAACACAGGTGACCCATGAAACTTGAGGCTTAGTGCTGCTTTGAACGATTTCCTCAAGCAGAGCCTCGGATGCAAAATGCAATTTCAGTCTTGCGGCGGTGAAGTCGGAGCCGGAGAATACTTTCTCGACCTTTGACCTGCGTTCGATCTGCGTCGAGTGACAGGAACTATGCCTCGCGCATTGCAGGGCAGGAAGAGGCCTTGCCCTCCTGCGTGCTCCGAGTGCTCCAGCGATGGGACACAGGCAGGTGCCGGAGGGGCGGAGCGGAATGTTGTGGGCGGAGCGGAGCGGCTGTTGTGCATATTGATTTATATTGCATACTTGAGCTGGAAGAATATATAAAGCTCGTGATGATGGTATCATCGAACTATCAGATGGTTTCAGACGAAACTTCAGGGAACTTCCCAACACAAATGCCTCCAACATCCTCCAACTAGGTGAACTCACGGTGTGTTGGTTGAAATATGTTGAAATCAATTGAGCCTCGTCACGCAAGTTCCACACGAGCAGAGAAATTGAGAAGTCTTCATCTTGAATGAACCCGGATTGGCCTGTTAACCAGTTAGCAGTTTGCCCATTTCGAATCCTTCCAAGGTGAACCGTGTTTGAGGCAGTCATTCATCAGGCTACTAGAAACAAGAAGCTACTAGGAGCTCCTGGCCTTACTGCTAGGAACGAGAAGCTATTAATTAGGGACTCCTGGCATCGCTATTAGGAGCAAGGACGCTACTAGGGTGGATTCTTCATTCATCAAACGCCATAGGACGCCGCAGGACCCTCGCTTCCGCAGCCTTTTTTGGTGGCTGAAAGGATCGAGGCGAAGCAATCGGTTGGTGCCATGAGGAAAAGCCGTCCTGGTACCACGCGCGGTGGGTCTTCACTCAAGCTATGGAAGGTGCAAGCACCACTTATGTTGATGATCTTCAGCTGGCCATTGTTCTCTCTCAGTGGTCCACATCTCTATTCAGAGCGCACCTTCCTCTCGAAGCCTTCTCGGACTTCTTCCAACCTTACTGTCCAAGCGCGGAGTGGAGTCAAAGACCACCGTCAAAACCGTGGAGTCTTCCATAAGCCGTCCAATCCAAAATGGACATGGCCATTAAGCCTCATGATCCTTACCTTCAGCCTATCTGCCTCAAGTGTTCAAACTTCCAGTCGCTTTTGTCGCCGCTGGTCGAACAAGCAATCGACCAAGCTACAAGCATTCGCTGGAGGTTTGGAAGGGTGTGACTATCATGGAGCAGGGCGCTATGAATTCGACCCTTCACTGGAGTGTTGGTCAGTCTCCTTTGTTTGCGTGTGTGTAGAGTCGACCGAAGAATCAAGAAGTAGTCAAGAATATCAGAGTTGTTGGAATGAGGGTTGTGACTGACAGTGACTGACTGTCTGACTGACACTGACACTGACACTGACACTGACTGGCTGGCTGGCTGGCCTGCTGGCTGGCTGGTTCACTGACTGACTGACTGACTGACTGACTGACTGACTGACTGACTGACTGACTGACTGAC